ATTTAAGTAGAGTTGGTGACAGCTCTTTCCGGAAAGTTTGGTAGAACTCACCAGTGTAACCATCTGGACCTGGACTTTGGCATTTATTTTTAAAGTTAGAAGTATATTAAATATTTAATTATATTTTCACTGAATTTATGGTTAATATGCTGTATATAAAATGAGTTAGGTACATAAAAATCAGAACAGAATGTCTTCTTCTGAGGAAGTTGACAAAACAGAAACAGAAAAACTTGTTTTAAATATAATCATAATTTCAAATTTTCTGTTTTAGAAGGACCATATTTTATTTCTGTGAGTCTTGGTGTGGTGTTGTAGGGTAAGCACTGACTAGACTGCTAACTTTAAGATTGGTGGTTCAAACTCACCAGCTGCTCCTTGGAAGCCCTGTACAGGGTCATTATGAGACAGAACCGACTGACTCCACAACACTTAACAACAATTTAACATGTCAAATAGATCAGGTAATGTATATCAATAGATGCTCAGTAAAGGTGAGCAAAGCCTAATGGAACCCCTTAGTCCACCCAATTGGTCTGGAACTGAACTCATCCCCCTTTATTTTTAGCAAACAATAAACAAATTTACATGGGGTAACAATAACACTAGTAAGATACTTACACCTTAGAATAATCAACCAGTTGAGATCAAAAGGGCAGCATTTACCCAAGGACAAAAGTCAAAAGGGTTAGGAAAGAAGAAGGAATAGAAATATGACAAACAGGGAGGAAGTGGAATAAGTGATGCTACATGGAGGGGATTGCAATCAATGATGAAATGAAATGTGTAGGAATTGTTCATTGTAAAACTGATGATCTGCTCTGTAAACCTTCACCCAATTCGAAATAAAAAGTAAACAAACAAAAATGATAAGAACAACACACACACACAAAACACTTGGTAAAAAAAATCAGTAGATATGAGTTACTTAGTTCTCTCAATTTCTTTGATTTCCCACCAAAGCAGTAATGAAAATATATTTATAATAATATGTTGTTGCTGTTGTTAAGTGCCATGGAATCGGTTCCGACTCATAGTGACCCTAAAGGGTTGCTGAGGCTGTAAATCCTTGGGGGAGCAGAAAGTCTCATCTTTTTCCTGTGGAGCAGCTGGTGGACTTGAACTGTTGACCTTGTGTTTCACAGTCCAGTGCTTATCATATGGAGCTACCATGCTCCCTCTTATCAGCTGTTGTTGTTGTTAAGTGCCATAGAGTCAGGTACTGACCCATAGTGACTCTGTATAGGGTTTCCAAGGAGCAGTTGGGGAACTTGAACTGCTGGATTTCCGGTTTGAGTGGACTTTGCAGTCCAGCGCATTAACAACAGAACCAAATCAGGTTATGTATACACATAGGAATTGAAAGTATTCACCTTTGATATTCATACTGACCTAGGTTGGTCCCCACTCATAAAATTTTCCTTTTCAATGAACATTTGATTATGAATCTTTCAAGACAGAAGTAATGAAAAATTACTTCTGCAGAATCTAAATGTTTTCCTTTGGTGCCAGAACAAGATTGCTTATAGTAGGGAATTCCCCCAGATATGGGGAAAAAAATTATCTCTCAATTTTTTTAAACCAAACTGAAAGATAAAACAAAATGAGTTCAGTTTGGTTTAAACAAATTGAGAGAGAATTTTTTTTTCACCTTATTTCTGGGGAATTCCCTCCTATAAACTATCTGTTTCTGGCACTCTGGCACTAAAGGAAAACATTTAGATTCTACAGAAATAATTTTTCATCACTTCTGTCTTGAAAAATTCATAATCAAATGTTCATTGAAAAGGAAAAATTTATGAGTGGGGACCAATCTAGGTCAGTATGAATATCAGATGTGAATACTTTAAATTCCTATGTGTATACACAAAAAAATGTGAACACATTTATATTTAATCAAACTATACTTTTGGGAAGGCAAAGTTCTTGAAGCACAGTACTGTTTCATCATGAACCATATAATTAGCCTAGTTGAGGTGTTGTTGTGGCTGTGTGCTGTCAAATTGGTTCCGATTCATAGTGACCATTGTTGTTGTTAAGTACCGTGGAGTCGGTTCCAATTCATAGCGACCAAATATACTGTTAAATCTTTCTCCTGGAGGAGTGACTGGCAAGTTTGAGCCACAAGGTTTGAAGCCCAGTGCTTATCCTATGGAGCCACCACACTCCTACTGATGTTTTAGGAAGTTTTTATTTTCTGTTCACATCTATATATCATGAGAATCATAAAATCATAAAGATTATATATTTTTCTTTATAAACACATTAATATTAAGAACATGTTGAGGTGGTAGCATATGTCTGAATTTATATCTGACAGAATAAATAAAATAGCCAAACAGTATAATTGGTAAGCTAAGACCTTTAGTGTTACATAGGTTTCCCCTAGTACCTGAAAGTAGACCATTCATATGAACTGTTTAGTTAGCCAAAATAGTGTAAAGTGATGCAATTACTATTCGTTTACATGGAAAAAAATTTTTTTTGAGTTTCATAGACCCCCAAAATACCTTACTAAACCATACCAAATAACACATAAAAGCTAAAATAACACTAATGTACAGTGTTCACAGAACAATTCAGAGCTATGGGGATTTGATGATGAGATGCTGGGTGTAGTTCCCACTCTCATTGCTAGGGTTGCACACCACCTCTTTAAAGACTCCACAACACAAATGCTGAACAGTAGATTTGCTTTTCATTCTGTTTCGTTAAAAGCAAAAATCCTCTTCAGACTTTTTTTGGTTAGCAAAAATAGGTATGTGTTTAGGTCTTTCGTAAAACTGTAGTGGCAAAATGATCATTTGAAAACTGGGAGGTACCTGTATTGCCCAAACAACTAATTTCTTTAATCTTGTAATACTCAAATCATGGTAAAGGAAAAACATGTAACACACAAGATGTTCCTTTTTGGAAATTTTTCATTACAAAGTCACTTACCAGCAGATATGCTTACAAAGATCCTTTTCTTTCAGAAATGTGGAACAATTACAAGAATGAGGATTTCCTAAGAAAACCTTTAAAAGAAAAATGCACACTTTAAAAAACAGTCAGTTAATTTTTAGAGCAAGACTCATTTGAAAGATAACTGGATTAAAATGGATTTGAAGATATAATTTAGTTTGTTGTTGTTGTTAGGTGCCGTTGAGTCAGTACTGGCCATAGCAACCCTGTACAGGGTTTCTGTGGATGCAGACAGATCTTTACAGAATTATAAAGCCTCATGTTTCTCCAAAAGAGCAACTGGTGGGTTTGAACTGCTGACCTTGTGGTTACATGTTGTTGCTTCTGCTATGTGATGTGGAGTCAGTTCTGACTCACAGCGACCCTGTAGAGGGTTTCCAAGGCTGTTTATCTTTAGGGGAACAGAAAGCCTCATCTTTCTCTTTTGGAGTGGCTGGTAGGTTTGAACTGACAACTATATGGTCAGCAGTCCAGTGCTTATCCTACAGCGCCACCCAGCTTCTAATTTTAGTTCTTTTTTGGTTAACAATCCAGTGCTTATTTGACAGTGCCACACCAGTACTCCACTGTAACAGACAGATGAAAATCAGCTAACTTTAAAGTCTTCCTTTCCTCCATTCTCCCCCAAATTAAGAAAATAAATGATCAGCCCTTCCAAACCACTATTTAGCAATCCTTATAAGACATCTCAAGGAGCTCTGGTAGCGTAGTGGTTACAAATTGGGCTGCGAACTGCAAGGTCAGCAGTTTGAAACTACCAGCTGCTCCGTGGGAGAAAGATGAGGCTTTCTGCTCCTGTAAAGATTAACAGCCTCGGAAACCCTGTGCAGGGTCGCTATGGGTCGGAACCGACTTGACGGTACTTAACAACAACAACAACAACATAAGACATCTCATAAGAAGACCTGGTGAGTTACTTGGAAAAAAATCCACCACTGAAATCTTGTGGAGCAAAGTGCTAGTCTGACATACACAGGTGGCTATGAATCTGAAAAAGTTCCTCTGGCAACTTGATAGTAGAAGTACTCTAAGGAAGGTCTACCTTGAGGGTAGAACTGTTGTTGTTTTTGCTATGTGCCATCAAGTCAGTTGTGACTTATATAGAGTTTTAAAGGAGCTGCTGGTGGGTTTGAACCACTGACCTTACAGTTCAAACTAGTCTTGAGGTCCAGTATTAACCCTACAGTGCCCCAACAGAACTCCGGGGTAAATCTAGAGGCCTTTTATGCACCAGTTGTCACCAGCTCCATTATCACTTATGGCAACCCCATGAGTGTTAAACTGCTCCGTGGGGTTTTCAGTAACTCATTTTTCAGAAGTAGCTTGTCAAGCCTTTGTTTCCAGGTGCCTCTGGGTGTACCAGGAGGACCCAACCTTTCAAGCATGAAAATATGCACCACTCACAGACTCTAAGACCTTTTATAAAGTTGCTCAACTTGGATTAATTTGTTTTGTGCATTTAAACTGGTGAGATCCTTTATGAAATTTAATTCTATTTGTGAGGATTAGTATCATTAAGACTGTATTGGTTAAAACAATTTATTAAATACATTAAGTTTTGTAAGCAACAGAGTAAAACAAAAATGGACACTTTACACACAGATTAGTAAACTGTATTTGGTATTTAAGGAGTTCTGGTGGCACAGTGGGTCTCCATGGGAAAAACATATGCGTTCTGCCTCTATAGACTTAGTCTCAGAAATCCCATGGAACAGTTCTACTGTGTCCTAAAGTGCTACTATGACTCAGAATCTACAGTCTAAGGCAATGTGTATTCAGTACTTAAAATGCATGACACCAAACAAAAAATTTTCAAATCAACTCTTGGGATATGGCACGTCACCAGCTTTACAGATGTTAAGTTTGAACTACTAACTTTCCAGTTAGCAGCCCAACTCGGAATATACTATGTTACCAAGGATCCTTCTGATGAGGGTGTTGTGTGTTCTGACTCATAGCAACCCAGGATTGGGGTTCCAGGGAGCAGCTGGTGTGTTTGAACTGCTGTCCTTGTGGTTTGCAGTTCAGTGCTGATCCTAAAGTACCACACCAGGAGTGCAAAATGAAAGACCTGTGGTGTTTCAGAAAAACTAATTTCCATTCATCAAGACTTTCTAGGCATCACCAATTAAAACCATAGTTTAAAAGGGCAACGTTATGACTTCAGAATGAGTAAAGTATGAAGAGAAATCGATCTTACTTATTTGGCAAACATTTAAGGCATGCAAGTATATTGGAGGCACCTTGTTTGATTAACAGGGCCTTCTGTTTTACTCTGTACAACAGAACGAAATACTGCCTACTGTTGTACCACCCTCATAATAACGCTGCTTCTTGATATTTCATGCCTTTAAGCCATCCCTGCTCATAGAGACCCAGTATAGGATTTCTGAGGTTGTCAATCTTTTCAGCAGTAGAAAGCCTCATTTTAACCTGCACATGTGGTTGGCAGTCCTGAGCTTCTCCTTCACAGCCACTGCGCTCCCACAATCACTACTTGTTACATGCAGTCCAGTCGGTTCTGACTCCCAGTGACCCTGTATAGGGTTTCCAAGGAGTGGTTGGTGAGTTTGAACCTACCTTGTGATTCAAAACAACCTTGTAGTCCAGTGCTTATCCTACAGCACCACACCAACAATCATTGCTATTGACCACTAAAAACAGGGCCAAGAAGGAATCCAAAGCCACTGCTATGAGTGATCCTATAAACAGATCAGAGCTGCACTTTAGGGATTCCAACACAGTAAATCTTTACAGGAGCAAACAGTATCCTGCCGAATACAAACTACTCATACAAAACGTTAAAAATTTTCAGGCCTAAGGCTTGAAAGTCTAGCATCTTAAAAGGGTCAGATGCAATTTGGAGTTCTAATCTCCCAAAATTAAACTTTTCTAACAAATACTATTTCCTCTAATTTGCATATCTTTGCGAGTCTGGTCCAGTCGCCAGAAGGCGTGAAAGTTTGGGGTGAGGCAGCGAGTGTCAGCAAGGATTAAGAGGATGGATAGGATCAGGAAAGGCCTCGGGGGACCCGATAAGGCAGGCGATTTGGGGGCGGCAGTTACTCGGAAATCCCTGCTCTCCGGCTCCTCTTCCCTCAGCAGGAAACCAGTGGGGCCCATCTCTCGCAGGAGGTATATGCTGCTGCTCAGCGCCAGGTCTTGCTGCCAGTTGAGGCGGTCGCTCGCGTGTCTTCGCCTTTCTGAGCTCTTATAGCCTCCGCTGAGCATCCTGCCAAAGAGTAGGCGAAGGCAGTTCTTCCGCGAGACTCTGCGCCGCTGCAGCTGGTCTCCATGACAACAGCGTGTCGGCTGGTTTCCTAGGTGAAGGCGGTTGGGCTCGGCGATGTCCCAGCGTGCCGCGCGCCGAGCTAGGACTGGCTCCAAAGGTGCGAGCGTGAGTCCGTCTTTACAGTGCTGACCAGCCTGACAGGTCACACCTTCCAGTCTGAAGGGTGTTTCCTGTAACCAACGCGCTGACTTAAAACCTGGTGACCAAAGGAATAGCTGTCAAAGCTCTGGCAGATGGTTTGACTTTTTCTGGTTCCTTGCCCACAGGCCTGGTGAAAATCTGTATGTTAAGATAGTTAGGGCAACCCAGCTACATTTTGGGTTTTAGATGCTAAAATCATCTTGTGACTTTAAAATCATTTGTCAGGACAAATCGAACAAACAAACAAAAACCCCTTTGCTGAGGAGTCGAGTCTGACTCACCATAACCTTAAAGGACAGGGAACTTTCCCTAAGGGTGGTATCACGCTGTAGGATAAGCCCTCTACTGTGAATCACAAGATTGGTAGTACAAACCCAGCAGCGGCTCCTTGAAAACCATATACAGGGTCGCTATGAGTCACAACCGACTCGAAAGCACTTAACAACAATATTTGTGGAAACAGACTGCAGCGACATCGTTCTCCCCTTGAGTGGTTGTGGGTTCCAACATTTGATTATCAGCCGATGCTTAACCACTGTGCCACCAGGGCTCTTATTTATCAGCAAACGTGTTGTAATTGTTGACGTTCAACAATATTCCACAAGTATTAATTGCCTACTACGTGCACAACATTCACAAGGAGTTGAGAACAAGGATAAGAACCCTGTTTGTGTAGTGGTAAGCGTTGGGCTGCTAACCACAAGGTCATCAGTTTGAATCTACCGTCTGCTTAGCGGGAGAAAGATGAAGCTGTCTGCTCCTGTAAAGATTTACAGCCTTGGAAATCCTATACAGGGTGGTGGAACCCACTCGGTGGCACACAACCAGATAACGTGCACTGTTGCTGGGGAAAGACCAAAGATGTAGAAGACAGGAGGTCTAACATTTTAAGTCTAGGGTGTATATGGGTTGTCTTAAAGCAAGGAGAACATTTCTAAATTGCAAGTTTGGGTAGGATGTGTGAGTGTGTGTATATCCACTGACTCTGGGTATATAGCCTGTAAATTTAAAAATTCCTGATCTAAATTTAAAGATTTTCAAGTTATACAATTTTGACTCTGATTCAAGTAATCTCTTGTTTTGTTACTATATTCTAAAGAGAGTGCTGTAATAAAACATAGGTTAAGAAATAATTCATATTACAAGAATTTCTCTAAGAATTAAAATAGGTTCTGACTCATAGTGACCATGCGTAGGGTTTCCTGAGGAACACCTGGTGGATTTGAACTGTAGGCCTTGTGGTTAGCAGTCCAGTGCTTATCCTTCAACAACTAAATACATAGTACAGAGCTTCTAGGTTCAGCATCAAAGTAAAAGTGCTAGATTTTATAGTTAAATAGTATAAATTAGAAGAAAATCTTATATTAAAAGCAAATATGAGGGAATATCAAAAAGTCTGTGGAAAAAAATGGAATTAAAAGAATGGAAAATTTCCACCAACATTTTGAAGATATTCATGGAAAAAAATTTCTATTATCTTTTTTTTTAACTTTTTTTTTAAGTTTTTATTGTGAACTGAGTGATAGTCTACATGGGAGTACATCAGCTTTACACCATCTTTCATTGCAATGATAACAATCTCCTTCTTACATCATCATTCATCAGTATTAGCTTCCATTCCCTCTGTTTTGTGTTTTTGTTTTTGTTTTGTGTGTGGGGTGTATACACAGAGACACTAAGGAATATATAATAATTTAAACAACCAAAGAGCACATTCTTTAAGTCTGCCTCCTGGCCACCAGCACCCAGTCCCTCTCTTTCCATGAGTCCAGAGTCCTCAGCGGCTCACTCTCCCCATGTCCTCATCTCTGCCTCCATCTCTGGTGTCACTGCTTCTCTGGATAAGGTCCTGAATTCCACTTGTGCTCTTCTCCCTTGATGGTCTTAGGGTCCTCTGTTTCTGGACTGTAAGATGAACTACTTCCCCATTTTTATTACAAAACTTCTACCTTTACAATTGTGACAGTCACAATTAGTCATGATAACAATATCTCACTATTGAATCATAAGAATCTTATCTCTTTTTTTTTTACCAGACCCATCTAAATAAGCTAAAAACTATTCAGTGGTGACTGTACCTTCCCCCGCACACTTAAATGGAACTTTTCCACCAACATTTTGAAGACATTTATGGAAACTTGAAAACTTGTAAGTCACTCACTTTGTGCCTTTATTGCTCCCTCATTTTAGGTAGCCAATGTCTAAGTTGCCTGTCACTATCAACCTTGTATATGGAAGGGATAGGGTTGATACTTGATGTGAAGACTCCTTCTATCTCATTTGTTATTTTGAGCTACCACATCTATAAGTATAGATCAAGTTTATCAAGTTGTAGCAATTTACACTTGTTTCCTTTACATATATAAAAAATAATAAAATCTATCTCTAGTCGAGTTCTGATTATCAAGCTATTGAGGCTAGGTCAAATGGGTACTGTCTGCAAGTTTGGGCATTCTTGTGCATCTCCCCTCATTTCATCTCAGCTGGATGCTTCACTCTCAGCTCTATCCTTCTGTGGCTATGTCCTTGTCCATGGGCTCAGGAGTCCCAAGGTTTCACCACACTTCAGACCAACCAGCCCTTCATCTTCTCTCTCTCATTTCCAGATCAACGGGAGTCTATGGAACGTGGTTGAACTCACGTGCTACCTTTCCCCCTCTTCCACTCACCAATAGATGAAGGTGGTTTCCTTATATGCCTGCTTATGTGTTCCCTTTGAGTTTCAGTCTTGGAGGGGAGTTTGTCCTTAAGGGACTTGATTGCTTTCTTTGATGGCTCCCCAGCGAATCTATTAT